TATTTACACACACCTCACACACACACACACACACACACACACACACACACACACACACACACACACACACACACACACACACACACACACACACACACACACACACACACACACATGCAGTTCCCCACACGTGCACACGAGCGGACACAAGCTCGAGTTTCCAAGACAAGACGTCTAAAAGTTTATTTGAGTCGATGTTTCGAAGTGCCAAATTTATATATTTTTTAAATCGTTAACACTGTCGCTACGACATCTCGACTGAACTGTACTGAATACTACACACACTCCGAAACTCACTGTCACAGAAACATCTCATGAGACACGGGGAAGAAGAGTCCCCATACTGATAGGAAATAAACTCCATCCTTTAAACGTATTCTGATACTGCATTTAGTCTATATATACTATATACAGAACATGAACACTGCATATTTAAAGGTCTACATTTACAACCACTGCACATTTACTAAAAGCCTCTCAACTCGTATTTATATATCCAGATGTGTTCGCTCCGCTTGTGTTTGTGAGGAAACACCAACAATAACTATGCAACAAATACAACAAACACTACAGCTGGAAACACACGTTTGGTTTTTTTGGGTTCGTTTTTTTTACACACGATGCACAAAACCACACTTTTTATTTTTACAATCATCTATTGCAATTTCTTTACAGATAACAGATTCATAACAGTACGACTTCCAGTAGTTTGCTGTGATGTGTCGATAAGTAAAGTTGATGGCGATGAAGAGGAGACAGAGGAGGAAGGGTTGGAAACATGCTCTCTTTGACCAGGTGTGTGTGTTTGAGTAGACGGAGATCGGGTGGATGGAGATTTCTTCTTCTTCAACTCTTCCTCATTTCGTTGGCTTGTTGCTTCTTCCTCTACTCATAGAAGCTGCGATCACTAGAAAGAGGTCAAAGCAGATTTGTCAGTTTCCTGTTGTTTTGATGAGGGAATGAGTCCTAAAACCCCGACATGAGTCAGCATTTCAGCATTTCCTGTCCCCTGGTCTGGAAGTCAAGGTTTTTCTGAATGTGTTAGCGTGAATTGTAAACATTTCAATCATGTAAAAAAAAAATTTTGCTTTTGGAAAACCATGTGGAGATGGAGGGTAAAATGGCTGGTTAAAGACAAGCAAGACTATTCACTTACCAACTCACGTTTTTTATTACAAATTACATATTGAATGCATCAGAAAGGAAGCCCTTGAGCTCATTTCCTTTCATTCAACAGTTGTGCTACACACTTTATTTGTCTTAGTAGCATCTGGTGGCTAACGTAAGCTAATGATCTCAAACTTTATTGCTGTGCTCTATATTGTCTCCAGTTGCAGCTTCTCCTCCAGGTGCAGCCTCTCCCTCCAGGTGCAGTCTCTCCTCCAGGTGCAGCCTCTCCTCCAGGTGCAGCCTCTCCCTCCAGGTGCAGCTTCTCCTCCAGGTGCAGCCTCTCCCTCCAGGTGCAGCTTCTCCCTCCAGGTGCTCCCAATCACCAATCAGGGCTTCCATAAAGGACCTGAGAAAAGCTGCAGTGGCTCTCCCCTTCTCCTCTGGCTGCTGCATGGTGTCTCTGTCTCTGGCTGGTGCATGGTGTCTCTGTCTCGGACCTGATTATATTTGTATTTTAATTTGTTTTGCAAGTTGGCTGGTGAGCCCGTTTTCTGCTTGTCCATCATTGGTAATTAAACCTCCCTTTGTGGTTTCAGATCTCTTTTTTCTCGTGCCTGGTCATTTCTGTGCTTTGTTACTTCCCTTCCTACCCCTAGACTAGGAGGGAACGTAACAAACAGATACTACTAAATCAGTTTTCTGACATTTTTCTCTCTTAACAATTTGCATTTTTATGTTTATTTCATTCAGGTGGCTAGCAACAGTTATCTTAAAGGTGGGGTAGGTCATTTTGGAGAAAGCAGCTCGAGTGCGCTAGAATTTGAAAATACACAACGGGAGAAAATCTTCCACTTCCTCACAGAGCCCCTCCTCCAACACACAGGAACGCACACATGACCAATGAGGGCACGAGATCAGTGTGAAGGCTGACAGGCAGGTAGGCCATCCAGTTACTTTAGCCGGCTCAGATGATTGGTCGTGCTTTTCACAGCACTACGGCTTCCACAGATGATATTTTTTATGGATTTTTGTCAAAGCACTTCAGATATTCATTGCTATCGGGATGTTAAGAGCATTCCATGGAATATAACAAGTGTATCTCGAGCTGGTTTCTCAAACTTACCTCCCCCACCTTTAAGTAACTTAGTCTCGCTTAATTCTTTGGGATGAGTGAGGTATGATTGTACAAAATAACAAACTTTTACCCTCAGAGTGAATGTTTTTCCATGTGAAAGCGACTGAACCCATCATTAAAACAGTTTTTAGAAGTTTCTACTGCAATCACAATCCTATGTAAATGCTAATCTAGTGGCTAGCTAACAGGCTACATGCTAACTAGTCCCGTTGCTCTGCTGTAGATCTTACCAGTGCACAGCGTAACGACCGACAGCTTAAATTCGGATTTGATCGCCTTCATTCAACCTGGTGATTGCAAAATAAATCCAATAAAATATCCAGAGTTCAAAGTGCATCCTGTCAAATGACACTTTAGACATTTTATTCTAAAGAAGAAATGTGAAAGAGTGGTGCAGAACATGAGTCGTAAAACTCTTTTTACCAAATCTGGTTCCCTATCTTCAAACTCTTTCATTGAAAAACGGCAGTTGCTAACAAGTGTCTAAATGAGACGGCTAAACGTCATTACGCCCAACATTAGCTGCCTTTAGCATAGCTGTGGTGACGTGAAGTCATGTGACCGTGCTGTAGTTCCTTTATAGCCCAACATTAGCCTCCTTTAGCTTAGAGGTGGTGACGTGAA